CATTGACCAATTCAGGAGCATTTATCCTTAATCCAGAACACAGAAAAGGGATCTTAGAGAACTTCCCTCATTCTACATCTAACCCCTCATGAGCCCATACATGGAGACCCACTTGAGGTCATGCAATGTTTAGTGGCTACACTAAGGCTTTCCTGACTTCTAGAACAAGTAGAACTGTTTGCACCAGTTTAGTGAAGTACAGTTACCTATAATAATAATACTGGGGAGAACTAATGAGTAGATGGTTCTTCTCTGTTCAGCTGATGGTTTTTAGTTGACCCCAACTTTTCAGAATTAGTCATCCCCACACCCGGCCCCATGACTGCCTCATTGGCATGGCAGGCTGACCTTGGGTGACTATTGGGGAAGTCACCTTGAGCTCTACATGCCACAAGGATCTGTAGAAGGTCACCCTCAGGCAAAGCTGGGGGCTCCACAGAAGATGCATCACCAACTCTCTGTTCCAAGTAAACTCAAGACAAGGCCAGGGTCTGCTATGTGCCCCCACCTGTTGGACCCAACCAGGGAAAGGGGAATGGAAGCAACATGCGGACATACAGAATGCAGGAATCAGGGTGGAGAGGCCCCAGCGCCAGGCATCTCTAGCAGGCAGGAGGGAGATAAAACAGCACCTCCAGATGCCCCGGTCTCAGGACCAGGAGGGCCAGTGGGGTCCTGGTTGCAAAAGGGCCAAAGTGCCCATTTCAGTGACTTATTCCAAAGTTCCTCAGACTTTAATGCTCACCTGAATCCCCTGGTGATCTTGTTGAAATGAAGATTCTTCTCAGTAGGTTTGCTGTGGGGATTTCCTAACCATCTTCCAGGTGACGGTTACTGCTGGTCCAGGGACCACACTTCATAGCAAAGGCCTATCCCACCTATCCACAGGTAAGTGGCCCAGTCAGGCTGGACACAGGTGGAGTATTGCCCCCCACTGAGAGTTATGGAACTAATAGTGGCAGCTAACACCAATAAAGCATAAGCACCGCTAGAAATTCTTACGCTAACTCATTTAATCTTAATAATAGCCCTATGAGTTTGTGACTATTATCATTTTGCCTCTTTACAGATGAAGAAATCAAAGCACAGAGAGGTTAGGTGCCTTGCACACAGCTGGTAGGTTATGATACTGGAATTTGAACCTGGGTCGCCTGGGTAGTTCTGCACATTAAGTGAGCAGTCTTGAAAGATGCTGAGGCCAATGTGTGCTGTCTCAGCTAAAAGATGAAGAACACGTCTGTGGTATATTAGCAGAATCCTTTAAAATTGTGATGAGCTCTCCAAAATTTTTTCAAAATATCTGTAAACCTTCCTGTTACTGGCTGTAGCCTGTGAAGTATCTTTTATCTTCAAACAACTTCAAAGCTTGCTTGTGGGTTTTTTTCTGTTTTGTTTTGTTTTAAATAAAAGGTTAGTTTCTAAGAAATTCTGAAGGAGTGTTGAAAGTAAGTAGTGTGGACTTAAGGAATTTTATCTTTAACTTCCTCACTATAGGGGACAGGGTCTATTCATATGCTTCAAACATTGTTGATCCGTCTTCTGTTTGGGAGAAGCAGGGCTGTGTCATCCTGTTGAGCCCATTTGTTCTCTGTGTGACCCATGGCCGTTTGTAGTTATGAGAGGAGCTGGGGGACCGGCAGGGCTGAGCGCTAGTCCAAGGACCAGGCTAACTGGAATCTGGTCCTACTCTACCTCCAGGTAGCTGCGTGGCCTGGTCAGCTCACATACTTTCTCAGGGGTAAGTTTCCTTGTTTGTGCTATGAATGGCCTGGCCAGATTCTCTGAAGTGTTAGCATGTGGCCTGTTCTTTTTGAGGGTTCCTGATCTTTGTCAAGATTTTCCCAGTAACTGCTGATTTTCTGTACAGTTGACTGTTCCCATCAAGGTGATGGGTTCCTGGAAAAAAAAAAAAAAAAGGAATCCTTAGAGAAGGCCTAAAACAAAGGTGAGAGATTCTTTGGTGAAAAAGTCTTGATACGGGTCCTGGCTTCCTCTCAGTGGCTTGAATCCCTTTGACTTGTTCCCAACACAAACTTCCTCATTGGAGTCCAATCACCTGGAAACTGCTTGACTTCCATCAGCTCCCACTACTAGCCCTGGCTGAAATTCCCTCAGCAGCTCCCTATCACCCACTCAACCAAGGCCATACTTTTCATCCTAACTCCAGATCCCTAGTGATCTGCTTATGTTCCTCCAGATAACTTCTCACCTCTCAGCTCTCTGTGAGTAGCTCCTTAACCTACATCCTCCTTCTCTCCTCCATGCCTTTTCATGTGCTGTCCTACTGCCTGGCATGCCCTTCCTACCCCTCACTGACTAGCAAACTCCTACTCATCCTTCAAGACTCTCCTCAGGGGTGTCTTCTGAGGAACCTTGTAGGATCCACCCAGGTAAAACAAATCATCCATCCTTTGTGCTCCACTATCTCACATTGATCAGAATGAGCTTTCACTCTTATCAGTTTGGATATATTCAGCAGCAGGTAACAGAACACCTGCCTAATAGTGGCTTAAACATTTAATTCTCTCTCAGACAACTGATGGTGGGCTCTTTAGGATTTGGTTCAGCAGCTCAATTCTGTCATCAAGAACCTAGGCCCCTTCTGTCATCCTTAGCATGTTGGGTATGTCTTGCCTCGTGACCAGAAGATAATGGTTATAGCTCAATCATCACATCATTACACCCTAGACTCCAAGAAGGAAGAAAGGAAAATAAAAGAAAATGGGCCTTTTACTTGTGCACTTGCTCTTGGGTTGCTGGTGGCTGCCCTTTCCTACCCTGGTCCCCGTACTCTATTGGATGCTCCAGTTTTAACTACTCAACCTGACCAGGCACCTTCAACTGTCCACTCTCAAGACCTGAGCCTCTCAAGAACCTGTGACCAAAGACCTCATCTGTCCTTAACAAACAAAATGACTTCCACAGTCTAAAAATCTTGAAATGTTTTTGACTGTCTGGACATTTAACTTTTGAATAGTTCTGTTGTACGTGCAGCTTTTATTGGGAGTCACTTCAAATATGTTTTAGAAGTAGGTGTGCTATAAATAATAAATAAATGAATAAATACCTGGAAGTGCGACTGTTTTTCTTTAATCTTGGAAGAATACAGTTACCACTGAGATAAGCCCCCCTGGCTAAGAATAAACAGGATGGCCTGGCTCCTGTCCAGAACCTAAAAGCTGCAAGCTGTTATAGGGGGTAGGGCTGCTAGGGAGTGAGGGTGAGGGGGCATTTGGGATGAGAGCTTACTTCTTGGTTCAGCTTCTGAGATGCCTAGTGTGTAAATTTTGAAGAGGGATAAGATCTGTGGCCTTATAACTGACTTCACAACAACTGCTATATGATGGAAGGGCCCCTCTCTCTGTCCCTCAGTTTCCCAAGTGTATGACAAGAGGTCTGTTAGATGGCCTGAAAGCGCCCTTCTAACTTGGCATATATATAGTGCTTCTCAGAGGGACGGAACTATCCATCCCGGGGTAGTGGGAATAGGCAATGGGGTCCCTGACCACTTTTTGTCTCAACCACTGTGGCCTTGGCCTCCCACAGCAGCTGGGAAGAGGACTCACTGCCTTTCTGACTTCCTTAGAAGGATGGGGTTCTCACTCTTGAGACTGTTTTCTCTTTGTCGGGAAGCTTGGCTACAGTCTCAGACACTCCTCCCCTCTGCTCTCAGCTTGGGGACTGCCCCTCCAGGTTCAAGCCGCTCAGGGGTTGTCTCTTCTCTATCCAGCCTCAACCAGGACAGGGCAGGCAGAGAGGAAAGGATGAAGTGGTGGATATACCATATTTTTCTGTGTATAATGCTCATGGTTATTTTTTTTTCTCCATGCCTGTGGTTTATTTTGTTCGTTAGTTTATTTTGTTGAGTAGAGTTCACTTATAGGTGAGACCATATGGTATTTGTAATGCGCACGTTTTTGCCCAAATTTTTACAGAAAAATAAGGATGTGCATTATACATCAGTAGTACTAATTCCATATCTATATGAATGTTTTTAATTGTTCTGTATAAGTGTTTTTTTATTTATTCTTTTACATTAAAAGTGTAACTCTACAAAGCAATAACAATATCCATCTGCAAAACAAAACCCTGGAATATGATAATCCGTTTTGTTTCTAAATATAAATAAATAAATAAATAAATAAATAAATAAATAATTGAATTAAAAAGTTAAAACAAAAGATTTTTTTCCTGAAAGTTTGGGCCAAAAATGTGGGTGCACATTATACATGTTAGTGTATTATACATGGCAAAATACTTATCTCTCAGGTGCCTGGGGGATGCAAAGAGACTCCTAACTGTAGATTAAATGGGGCCTACCCAAGATAATCTAGGACAATCACTCCATCTTTAGATCCGTAACCTTTAATCACATCTGCAAAACTGCCTTCACCATGTGATGTAATATATTCACAGGTCTGGGGATCAGGGTGTAGGCATTCTTGGAGGCCATTATTCTGCCTACCACAGAGAAGATTCAGTAAGTGGCAGACTGAATCCACAAAATACATACTCTTTCTATCACATCCCAGCTGCTTCAGGAACTTTGGGGCATCATTTAATTCATTCCATTCCTTTCTGGTAAGAATACACCTGATTGGGCCAGGAAGCAAAGAACATCTGTAGAGAGAGTGATTCTGCAGGCCCTCAGTCATTTGGATGGCACCTCAACTGGCGGGACTGTTTGGGAAGTTCTCTGAGGTCAAACCTAATGGGTCCAGCATGGGGGCTAAAGCTGGCCAAGGGTATCTCTGCCTGTTTATCTTAAAAGTCTCCAGGAGGGTCTCATATCACAGGTACATGCACAGTGTACACATGTGGCACACTTCCTCCTCCTTCCAGACTGGGCAGAATGAGAGAATGAACTGGAGATACCAAAATAAACTGGGAGCTCAGGCTGCGGTGGGTATGGTCCATCCTATTTCTGCCTCTGGCCCAAATTAAAAGCATACTTACTTTTCCCCATCAGAAATTTCCTCCTATCCACAGATTGGATTCTAGTGCTCACTTTGGCAACACGTATACTAAAATTGGAAGGATACAGAGAAGATTAGCATGGCCCCTGAACAAGGATTCTAAATACCTTTCATTCATTCATCATTCATTCAATAACTATTCTGCACCTACTTTGTGCAGGGTACTATTCTAGACACTCAAAATATATCAGTGAACAAAAAAGACAGAGACCCCTACTCTCACGGAGTCTACATTTTGAGTAGTGGGGGCTGAGTGGTAAAAAAATAGACACACTAAATGAGTTAATCATGCAGTATGTTATAAGGCGATGGAGCTATTAGAGAAAGAGAGTAGAGCATTGTGAGGGCATCCGGAGTGCTGGTGGGGTCACCAGACAGGGGCCTGGCCCTTAGCGTGTCTGCCCAGGGCCAGCTGGGAGCATGTGGTTTCTTGTCTTGGTGCAGGAAAGATTTCACAACACATGTCCATGTGACTGAGGGTACATTTATTAAAGATGGGGACAGTAAAACAAGAAAGAGCTTAGCATAGAAGAAGCAACAGGAAAGCCTAGACTGAGCTGCATTATTTCACTGTGAAGTCAGAAAAAGTGGCCTTGGAAGCAGGTTCAAGGGGTTAGCCTGAGACAAGCTGCCACTGCTCATTGCTCCCTAGATTGCAAAGTTTGTGGGGACACCCAGAGCCTAGGAGACATGCGCCTGCGGGGGAAGAGGTGGGGGGAAGAAAAGAGGGAAGGGAATGGTGAGGGCTGCTCCCCAGAGGGAGAGCACAAGGCTGGTTCCTTTGTCTTGAGGCTTTTATCTCTCTCTTGCAGGTGGGAATCTTAGGGGAGATCTCAGGGGAGGGCTATTCAGCAGAATATTCATCAGTTCTGCAGGTGTGCTCTTTCGGGTCCTGGTCTCTACTGATTGTTCAGTGCCAGGGCAGGGGGCCATCAGTCGCTGCAGTTGGTCCTAGTATCGCCCAGCTGTTTTTGCTGCTTTTCTGGACTTGGAGCTGAAATACAAGTGAAGCTTAGATGTTATCTCTAAGGAGGTGACCTTGTGTATCTGGCTATAAATTGCTCAGTCATTTTGTTCAGCTATCTGTCTCAGTTTCCCTATTCTACTTGTCCTGGCTTACTAGCCTGTCTCAGTGGAAATGAGGCTGCAGTATTAAATGTAGCAGCAAAGTGGGCCTCTCTGAGAAGGTGAGATTTGAACAGAGACTTGGAGAGGGCGAGAAAAGTAGCCAAATAGATACCTGGCGTGAAATTAGGTAGGACAGACAGGAAACCAAGGCAGGGAGGAGGAGGGAGACAAGACTCACCAGTTGACCTCAGAGTTCTGAGCCCAAGGTCCCCAAAGATTTGGGTTCCTATTACTTGAGAGGGGAAATATTAGGTGGCAGTTAGGAATGAGCAGCCAGAGGGGAAATAAAGGCAGGGTCTTCACCATTGCAATCTAATAAAGAACTTAATACAGGAGGCTAAAAGCAAAGGAAGAGGTGTCTCATCAGTTGACCCAGTAACCCTGAACCTGGTTCGATGAGACTGCCAGGCATTCCGAACAAGGTAGTGTAAGATCGGGGGAGCCCTTGAAAGTCTATGTGCATCATCACCATTAGCTGGGAAAAGAAAAATCTTGAGACTGTGTATTCATCCCAAGGCCTGGAAAGGAGAAGGTGAGGAGGACTGCAGGGCCCAAAGAAAAACCCATAAAACAACTTCGATTAACTGCCTGCCTCAAAATAAACAAACAGAGTCTACAGCGAGATGAGAATTCAGGCTAAGAGACCCCCACATATGCCTACGTTTGGGTAGTTACCTCTCCCCAGGCGAAGCTGGCACCACCTTTACCCATCAATCAATAGGTAACTCCCTCACCCTGATCCTGTCAACTATGTAAGTCCTCAGAACAAAGGACTCACTCTTTTGGCCATTTCTTGCCACATGGGGGTGCCCCTGGCCAGTCGACCTTTGACTACCTGGGTGCTGGTCACCCAGCCTCTGGCCCCCCTGCTCTTGCCACCCTTGCTTTTGCTCTCTTATTAGAACTTAGCACTAATAAACTTTGCTTGCTCCAGCAGGCTTGCTGATCTGTAATTCTTTACTGTGTCAGCAAAAACTGATTTTCTGGGAGTTTCTCCTGTAATAGCATTGCAGGTAGAGGAGACAGTCATGCAAAGGCCCTGAGGCAGAAGCATGTCTGACATATTGGAGGAAAGCCAGGAGCCCTGTGGGGTCAGAGAAGATGGCTCTTATAAGGACCTGAGTTTAACTTTTAGTGAAGTAGGAAACCAGTGTGAGATTTTGATCAAAGGAACTTTTAAAAAGAATTTTCATGGAATGCTGATGGGGTGACAGTTAGAAAGTTAAGGTTTGGGGATAGTGATGGAAAACCAGAGTCAAATGGCTGGGTTAGAGAAGAGATTTTTATGCTTTGCATAATGCCTTGGGAGAAATGTGGGAAGCTAAGGAAGGCAGACCCTAATCTTGGGCCAGGTCAGAGGGCAGGGTGAGTGGCTGGGCCTGTGTACACTAGTCTGCACCTGCGTCAGACTGTGGGTCCTGGCTGCACTGGGTTATATCAAGCAGAGTGGATGAGGAGAACACAGATGGAGGCTTTCCAGGGCCTCACAAGCTGAGCAAGCCACATAAACATCAGCATCTAAGCATCTCTCCTAGGTGGGAAAAGAAAAACCTAGAGACCAGCATCTAAGCTGGGAGGTGAGAACCACTACCTCCTGAAACTGGAAAAGTCTGCGTTCTCACTGCCTGTCACTACCAGAATCAATAGGGAGAGATAAGAATTGAATCGTTATGGGTGCTTTATTCAGATGTCTGCAATCTGAGAAGACGGAGGGTTATATACCCTCAAAAAACATCTTGCTCCGGTTGGCGTGGCTCAGTGGGTTGAGTGTCAGCCTGTGAACCAAAAGGTCACCAGTTCAATTTCCAATCAGAGCACATGCCTAGGTTGCAGGCCAGGTCCCCAGTTGGGGATGTGAAAGAGGGACCTGATCGATGTCTCTCTCACACATTGATGTTTCTCTCCTCTTTCTCCTTCCCTTCCCTTCTCTCTATAAATCAATCAATCAATCTTTAAGAAAGAAGAAAGTCGTTAACATCTTATTTCAAGCCAACCTTTTTATAAGAACAAGGGTAGGTAAGGGGTTTGGGAAAAAAAGGTTAATTGGATAAGAGTTGAAGTTCAGGTACTTTTCCTAGTATTTCTTTATCTGTTGATCAACAATTCAGATAATATCTCCATCACTTGCAGATCTCCTGGGGTTCAAAGGTTGAATTGACATCCTGGAGTCGTGCATTCTAGTTGCTGGAATAATAGCTTTCCACATGCATTAATCGCTTAAGTCTATCCACTAAGGCTAACACCTTTAACTCTTGAGTTCCCCTATCACTCCCACGTCAGAGAATTAGCAACAGATCAAACTTTGTGAGAGAAACCAGTCAAAATCTCAAGCTTTTGCTGTTAGTTAGCAGCAAAAAAGTCAAGCAAAATGACAATGGTGTTGGAACTGTAAGTGAGGGAGACCCCAGGAAGTTTCTGTAGAGACAGGGCTGGACAACGGACATGGTGTGGTGCCTGTCACGTGAAAAGAGGGATGTGGCAGTGTTACTGGTGTTCCCTTTCTGCAGGGTGCTGTCTTGATAAACAGAAACACATGGTTAAAGGGCCTTTCATAGCCTTAATCCCAACTTGATGCCCTTCCTGTCCAAGTGCTCTTTCCCATGAGAGTTTAGGCCACAGCCACGGAGGAAGTCTTCCTCGACGATTTGTAAGACAGCTCACTGATGGGGAGAGCTTCTGTCTCTACTGGTGAGTATCTAGTTAGTGGTCTATCTGTGTGGGCCAAGCTCTGCCTGGGGAGTGAGGCAGAAAGGATGAGGCTACAAAGGCATTCTTTAGGGACTGATGGTAAATGGTGAGATCAGGACGCCACAGGGGACACACAGTCATGCCAATTATGCCTGTCTGTATGAACTGAAGTACAGAAGATAACCTACTAAAAAATTAGTGGTTATATTTCTAGGACACGGGTTGATCAAGGATATTTTTCTTCCTTATAATTAATATATTCCAAGTACATACATTTTTACATTTTTCAAGTATTCTATAATCAGAGGAAAACAATGAGAACATTATGTTTATAATTATGGTGGCAGAAAACTTAATTTGGTATAAGAAAGAACTCCCTGAATGAGGATTAACAGGAAAGCGGTTCCCCAGGGGGGAAGCTCCGCCATACCTCTGTCTCTGTGAGGATCGAACACCCCCTTACCTAGAAGGGCTGGCACTTGCTTGGAAGTCTGGGATGGAGGAAAGGCAGGGGGTTGAACTCCACCCCTCACTGCCACAGCTGGAACAGACCCTGAGTCCTGAAATCAATTTTGCATTCTAATTCCATTATCTCTGCACCTGGCAGGCTAAACCTTGAGTGAACTGAATGAACACTAAGCTGATCAGAGTTAGTTGATTGGGTTTCAATACCTTTCTCTTTGGGAGGATTTCACTTCCTCTGAGGGTGGATGGAGGCTGAGGTGTCTCCCCTGAGGACACTGCTCCCTGGAATTGCAGGCACTTTTCCCTCTACTCAGCTCCCACCTGCCTAACTTTCATCTCCAGAGGACAGTCTAGACCTTATTTTCTTTTCATTTTTATTGTCCAAGTCATTTATATTTATTGCAGACATTTTAAGAAAAAAAAATAAGCAAAAAAGGACAAATCACCAGTAGGCCTGCCAACTAGAGATGACCAATATATTTTTGTCTCATACATAGACAATTGTCAAAATGAAAGAATAGCAAACATATTGCTTGAGAATGTATTTTTCATGAATTTTTCATCTTGAATGCCTTTTCAAGTTTATAAATGTATAGGTCTACATATGCATTCCAATGAGTACATAGTATTCCACCACATGACTCAATCACCATTTAACCATTCCCTTGTGGTTGGACAGGCTTTTTACAGCTTTTTGTCATTATCAACAGTGCTGCCATGAACGTCCTTGTACTCATTTTTGCCCTCATCTTGCCATTATTTGCTCAGGCCAAATTATAGAAGATAAACTGCTACTTTGAAGAGAATGCCATCTTTTAAAGCACGTCTCTAAAACAGGTGAAATCTGAGA